CCATGAGGCATTGCAAGACTCTTGACAGCCACGGGCATGACTCCCAGAGGCAGAGGCATGATGGGATTTGTAAATTCACTACAGTGGCGTCACAAGGGGGGGTGCGGCCAGCACCCGGGTGACACCATTGGAGGGGTGACACCAAAATGACTGACAGTCATTTTAGTGTCACCCCCTCTGCAAAGTCGGGCATGTGACGGACTGAACCGTCACTGGGGCTGCTGGAGGAGCCTGAGGGCTAGCCTCCTTCCTAGAGACTATGGACCAATCCCTATTTGCCCTGTTTCGAGTCCTCATTTGCATGGCGGAGAGGACCTAGGTGAGGACAGGAGGATAGTTTGCAGTTGACCAATAGGAAGGTGGTCGGTTGGGCCACCTTCAAACTGTTGTTTTATATAAGTGGGTGTGTGCATCCAATAAACGTGATTCCTGTGTGAACTTACATGCAGCCTGCCTGGTGTTTGTTCTGAGCTATCACCACTGGATACGAACAGCACATAGCTGGAGTTCGAATCCCAAATTATCGGATGTCCGAAATATCAGACGCTGCGGTCTGAAATCTAAGGAGTGCCGGGAGAGTGGAACCGAGCGAGCAAGGGGCTCGTTACAGGGCACGCGGTCATGGACCGGGAGCTCGACAGTTGCAGGAGAAAGGAGGGGACCCGGCGGCATACCTTATCCCGCTGGGTGAACGTCCCCTCCTCTCTCTGCCGGCGTCCATCACCAATCTCTCTGCTGGCAGTTATCACAAAGATGGCAGCGCATGTGTACTGACGTTGCGGCGTGGTGTCACCCGGTCTCTGCTCCGGATGACACCCGGCCTCAGGATGCCCCTGGCTGGACTGCCAATGTTGCCTATCTCTGCCCATGGGATTCATGCATGTAGCAAGGATATTTTTTGTCGCTCGCGGCAACCATTCGGTTCCCAATTGTCATTTCTGCAATGGTTACAATAAAACAAGGATTCTGATTGGTTGTTATGGCACATGTTTTCAGTGGAGGGGGATTTATCAAAACTGGAGCAGACAAAATCTGGAACAGTTGCCCATGGCAACAAACTTTCATTTTCAAAGCTTAATTAAACAAACTGTAGAGAAAAGCTGATTGGTTCCAGATTCTATCTGCTCCAGTTTTGATAAATGCCCCCAAAGTGTTTGAGCGGTTGCTATAGGTGACCCATGATTTTCACTTGTTTGCAGTATGTGTGTAACGTTATCCTTTCAATTCCTCAAAGACAAAATACAAAAAGCGTAACTATCGCCCATAGCAACCGGCCTACAACTGTTTACAGGCCTTGATTGTGTTTCCTTGACACTGTTTTTTAAGGCTCAGTTCCTAAATCCAGAGCGATCCATTTCTGACATGGCGCGGATAAAATGATATCCCCCTCCTAACGGGCGAGAGAATGAGTCACTGAGCACTTGTTCACAGCGGCAGCTGGGACATGAATCTCCCCGTCTCCACACCGCGCAGTTACACGGGCCTGTGAGGCCGCCATGACATGACAGTGAGGAAGAGCAGAGTCCTCACACAATGTAAATCTACCTCGGCCTGTGCTCCATACATGGCCAGCCGGGGGAAACTTTCCCACCAGGAATATAAAACATTCAGCAGAGTGAGCTCATGGCCCATTCCTGAAATAAGGAGGAAGTTTCCATCGCCATAATAGGAGAACAGTAGCAGACATGTCTTCGGGGCCAGCCCCCCTCTGCCTCATCTATCATATCAAAGCGGATCTAAGCTCATTCACTAAAACAGCGGTTGTCGGGACACAGGAGGCCTCAAGGTATCGGTGGGCACTCCAGCTGTGCTTTAACTACAAATCCCAACATGCCTTTGCCTCTGTGAGTCATGCTAGTGGCTGTCAGAGTCTTGCAATGCCTCATGGGACTTGTAGTTCCACAACACTTAGTGGGCCGGAGTTGCCCCACCCCGGCTTACTGCTATTAAAAGCCCCTTTACAAATCAATGCTCCAACTACTGAGTGCTTGGGTAAGAGGGCCGCAGATCGGGCAATAAAATCTCATATAACTGTTAACCTTTTAATGTCTCAAAAGTTGATTTCACTCTTTTTGAATCTGCAGCTCCCATTATAATAATCCTTTGGAAATCCTGCCGTGGATGGAGGTCCTTGTTCAGGGACTTCCTGTTATGGGGTGACAGCTGTCTCCCGAATTGAGCTACTGCGTTGTCACCCTATTATACATATGCCCTGCTGGTGGGGACTACAAGCGGCTACATTATGGCATGATACAGCATTGGCACTATCAGCAAGCTGATCCTGGGCAATGATGTGGAGATTGTGCCGGAGCGAGTGCATGTAGACAAGTAGTGGCTAGCAGGGGCTGGAGGAGATCAGCAGCACCGAGATGCAAAAAAAGGATGAAGCAAACTGTATTTTATGAAGCAATAAGGATGATAGTTTATGGTACAGAGTGCTTTAGCAAACTAAATGTCATCCACTTTGGGTTTA